AACCTCGCGAGGAACGTCGGGTTGACTTCGTCCTGGCGGGGCCAAGGGCAGAGTCAGAAAGAGGGGAGGAAAGGAAAGGGGGGATGGAGGGAGGGAGGGCGAGAGGGAGGGAAAGAAATGAGGAGGAGCAGGAGGAGGAGGAGGAGGAGGCAGAAGAACGGACCAGAACAGAATGCCTTGACGCAGGAGCGCACATCACTAACTTGCAATGGTGCAAGCGTTGCTCGCTCCTATCTCGGGAGGCTTCCTCGATGCGGATTCTCTCTGCGAGCGCCGCCGTGCGCTGCTCGTGCGAGGGCGCAGCCCCTGTAGCCGAAACCAGAATACGCGCCACCGTCAAGGCGGAGGAAGCAGCCGACTCCTACAGAAAACGTTCAGCGATGGCCTCCATGATTGGGCGACGAGCAAGGCTTGAAAGGGGAGCAGTCGTTATCGTCGTCCTCCTCCTCCTCCTCCTGCTCCTGCTCCTGCTCCTGCTCCTGCTCCTGCTCCTCCTCCTCCTTCTCGGGCTGGCCGGGAAGCTCGCAGCGCTCCACAAGGGGCTTGGGGCACAGATGCTCCCGCAAGCTGCTTCTTTCTCCTCCGCCTCGTCGTCTTCGTCCTCCTCTCCTTCTTCTCCTCGCGATCGTGCAATCCGTGAGGCTCCATGCAAAACCTGGGATCAACGAACGCCTTCGTTGTAAGATTCGGCAGCTTTCCATCTTCTCCGGGCTGAAGCGATTGTTAACATCTTGGCCCTTCTTGGTTGGGGCCTCGCAGGAGCGCGCCACCTTCATTCCCCTGCCTTGGAACCCCCTCTGATTGAAGGAGGAGGAGGAGGGCGAAGAGGAGGAGGAGGAGGAGGAGGAGGAGGAGGAGGAGGAGGAGGAGGAGGAGGGGGAGGAGGAGGAGGAGGAGGAGGAGGAGTAGGAGGAGGAGGAGGAGGAGGAGGAGGGGGAGGAGGAGGAGGAGGGGGAGGGGGAGGATGAGGAGGATGGATGATGAGGAAGGGGAGGAGGATGGACGAGGAGGAGGAGAAGGAGGCCTTTAGACCCCCTCGGACATAAGCAAAGTAACTATAATACTGACCTCGTATCCTCTTCGGGGATATTCGGGGCCGCGCCCCGATCACCACTTTCAGGAGCCTCGCGTCCAGCCTCGGCAACGATCGAGTGGACTTTCGTGCCATCCCACCCTTCCTTATGCATTACCGCCCTCCACCCTCCCCTCTTTGTCTTGATCCTTCCTCTCCCCCTTCTGCTTCCCCTACGCTTTTTCTCAAGTGTCATTCCTCCTCTTCCTCCTCTTCTCCTTCTCACATCATCCTGCTTCTTCCCCTCCTGCTCATTCCTCGCGTATCCCACTTGCTTCTCCCCCGCCTGCTTCTACATCTCCTCCTCACGTTCCTCTTCTTCGCTTAACCTCCTCATCCTCCTCCTACATCCCCAGGACGCAAATTTCAAGTTTTCCCTCTTGTGCCCTGAACGACGGCTTGAAGTAGTGAGCAGACGCGTATGAGATAACCGCCGTCGGATCCCATGAAATTCGCGCGGGTCCAAGTGTGGCTTTGGTGTTTGTTTCGGTGGATCCGATTTCTGTCCGCGCGGATCCGATTTGGATTTGCTGGATCCGTGTTCGGTCTTATTTTTTACGGCGGATCTGATCTTTACCCTGTTTCAAATTTACATGTTGAATTTTAAACGGGGAACCGGAGGAAATCGGGTCCGCGGACCCCGGAACCCGCCCGTGTTCAGATTCTACGGGGGAAGGGGTTTCGGTCATTAACTTCCACCTCATCATCGCCATTTGCACCTAAAAAGGAAAATCTGTCGTCCAGCGGAAGTATTACCGCCAACCTTTTCCTCATGCCCCCCCTCCTTCCATTCCATGTGCTCGTCTTCCCCCCTGGGAGCAATCATGACAATCCTCCTCTCTCATCCTCCCGTTTTTCGTCTTCTTCTTCTTCTTCTGTTTCTGCTTCCTCTTCTTCCCCCTCGCTTCCTTCCCCCCTCCTCTTCATCACCGGTCCTCCTGCTCCTCCTCTTCCTCCTCCGCCTCCCTCTCATCTCATCTTCTGTCCTTGCCCTCTCGTCGTCCTCCTCGCTCTCGACAGCGTGTTATTCCTCTTCCTCCGACTTCCCCTCGCCCATCTATTTATTCTCCTCTATTCTCTCCTGGCAACTCCCCACAGCTGCTCTTTCGACTTTCCTCTCCCAGCCTGACGGGTGCGCCCCCCGCAGATCCCCCGAGCCCCCCCCCCCCAAGGAAAGGTCGAAAGGAGAGAGGACGCGGCAGCAAGAGGAGCGCAGGATATGCAAGTGACGGATGGGGGGAAGGGGGGGGGGATCGGGCAACTGGACCACCAGCCAAGCACTTCATGCGGACGATGATGATGATGATGATGATGATGATGATGATGATGATGATGATGATGATGATGATGATGATGATGATGGTGATGTTGCTGCTGCTGCTGATGATGATGATGCTTATGATGATGATGTTGATGATGATGATGATGATGGTGGTGGTAAGGATGATGATATGGTTGATGCTGCGTTGGATGATGATGTTGTTGATGATGAGGATGACGACGATGATGCTGATGATGTCGATGGTGCTGATGTTGTTGAGGACGAGGATGACGACGATGATGATGCTGATGATGCTGTTGGTGAGGCTGATGATGTGGACGATGTGGATGCGATCGAGGACGTGATGCCGAGGACGTGGAGGAGGGCCGGGCTGTCCGAGCCGACCACCGCGAAGATCACCTTGGCGCCCCGCCGCTCCAGCAGCCGCCTGGCCTGCTCGGCCTCGGGTGGGCGGCCAGCGCCGTCGCCGCAGGGAGGAGAGAGAGAGGGAGAGCGAGAGCGAAAGAGAGAGCGAGAGCGAGCGAGCGAGATGGAGAGAGAGAGAGAGAGAGAGAGCGAGAGAGAGAGAGAGAGAGAGAAAGAGAACAACAACAAACGAGACAGAGAGAGAGAGAGAGAGAAAGAAAGAGAGAGAGAGAGAGAGAGAGCGAGAGGAGGCGACGGAGGAGAAAAAGGAAGATGATGGGGGAGGAGGGGGGAGAAGGATGAATGAGGATGGCAGGGAGAGGGAGGCGGAGGAGGATAAAGGGACAATGATAAGTCGAAGGATGATTGATGCTGCTGATGATGATGACGATGATGATGACGATGATGATGATGATGATGATGATGATGATGATGATGATGATGATGATGATGATGATGATGATGATGATGATGGTGGTGAAAATGATGATGATGAGGAGGAGGAGGAGAAGCAGGAGGAGGGGGAGGAGGTTGGTGGTGGTAATGATGGAGGTAATGATGATGATGAGGAGGAGGAGCAGGAGGAGGAGGTTCAGGAGGAGGAGAAGAAGAAAAAGAAGCACAAGGAGGAGAAAACAATAGAGACGAGGATGGAGTGGGGTAGAGGAGCACACTCTGATTCAAATGTTTTGATAAAGCAGGAGGGCCCCAGATAGACCCCAGACCCCCCCCCTCACGAATTTCGGCCTCCCCTGACCTGCTGGACTGGCCCTCGAAAGTGAGCCCCGAGCGCTCAGGAGGGTGGCAAAACGGCCCCAAGAGAGCCTGAGGCGGCCCCAGACACCCACCAGAAGCCCAGAGCCGGCCCAAGCAACACCCCCTAAGAGGCCCTCGAACTTAACAGACATGCATTTCCGTCTTTGTTGGTATAATGTTTGGATACTCGGTTCTTCGGTCTTCGGGGCGCCCGAGATCGCCGAAGAGGCCCCGAATATCGCCCCCAAAACGACACAGAGATCAGCCTGCAGACACTACAAGAGATCGCCAAGATGGTCCAACATGACACCACTGTGGCCCAACGAAGGCCCACTGACGGCTCAGAGTCCCAAGCCGCCCCCCGAACCACTCCAAACCATGAGCCGGTCGTTGAGGGAGATCGTGGTTCGCAGCAAGGTGGCCCGAGAAAACCCTCATAGGCCCCCTCAAGGCGCTCAGGAGGCCCCCGAACGTCCGCAAGAAGCCTCAAAACAAATCTCGTGAGGCCCCAGAGAGGTTTTCCCTGGAGGACCCTCCGCACACTGAGGAGGAGGAGGAGGAAGGAGGAGGAGGAGGCGGAGGAGGAAAAGGAGGAGGAGGATGATGATGATGAGGAGGAGGAGGAGGAGGAAGAGGAGAAGAAAGAGGAGGAGGAGGAGGAGGAGGAGGAGGAAGGAGGAGGAGGAAGGAGGAGGAGGAGGAGGAGGAGGAGGAGGAGGAGGAGAAGAGGAGGAGGAGAGGAGGAGGAGGAGGTGTGGAGGAGGAGGAGGAGGGGGAGGAGGAGGGGAGGCGAAGAGGAGGAGGAGGAGGAGGAAGAGGAGGAGGAGGAGGAGGAGGAGGAGGAGGAGGAGGAGGAGGAGGAGGAGGAGGAGGAGGGAAGAGGAGGAGGAGGAGGAGGAGGAGGAGGAGGAGGAGGAGGGGAGCTGAGGAGCTGAGGAGGAAGAGGAGGAGGAGGAGGAGGAGGAGGAGAGGAGGAGGAGGAGGAGGAGGAGGAGGAGGAGGAGGAGAAGGAGAGAGGAGGAGGAGGAGGGAGGAGGAGGAGGAGGAGGAGGAGGAGGGGAGGAGTAGTAGTAGGTGGAGGAGGACGAAGAGGAGGAGAAAGAGGAGGACGAAGAGGAGGCGGAGGAGGACGAGGAGGAGGCGGAGGAGGAAGAGAGGAGGGGGAGGAGGAGGAGGAGGAGGAGGAGGAGGAGGAGGAGGAGGAGGAGGAGGAGGAGAAGGAGGAGCGGGGGGGAGGGAGGAGGAGGAGGAGGAGAGGAGGAGGAGGAGGAGGAGGAGGAGGAGGAGGAGGAGGAGGAGGAGGGAGGAGGAGGAGGGGCAGGAGGAGGAGGAGGAGGAGGAGGAGGAGGAGGAGGAGGAGGAGGAGGAGGAGGAGAGGAGGAGGAGGAGGGGGAGGAGGAGAGGAGGAGGAGGAGGAGGAAGAGGAGGAGGAGGAGGAGGAGGAAGAGGAGGAGGAGGGAGGAGGAGGACAGGAGGAGGAAGGGGAGGAGGAGGACGAGGACGAGGAGGAGGAGGACGAGGACGAGGAGGAGGAGGAAGAGGAGCTGAGGAGGACGGGGAAGGCTCGAATGGTAAAACGAAAGCGAAGACGAGGAAGCATCAGGGGACATATACAACAAGTGGCACGTGTGCCATGGCTCTTGCACAAAAAGGGAGGGGGAGGAGGAGGTGGAGGAGGAGGGGCGTCGCGAAACATAAAATCGTCGGGGCGGGGGGCGGAGGGGGGCGGCTGGGGAGGCCCTAC